ACCCCCAGCAATGTCTCCCAGTACAGGGAAGGGGGTCAGGACCTGACCGTGAGTGTGGCTGGGGCTCTGGTCCCCAACTCCCCTCCCTGTTGCAGGTCTTGAGCCAGCAGTGTAGCCGCACTACGCCTCAATTTCCCCCTCGGCGCCTGGGGGGGAGCTTGAGTGTGACGGGGAGGACTCCTGCAGACGGTACCAGGCGCGAGGCTAAGGCTCAATAAAGGGGGGCCAGGGATCGGGTTGGGATCATGCGTTCTCAGGGCAGATGGTGTCACCCCATGTCTGACTGAGCGGGTGGAAGCCATGGGAGGACGTGAGGGGATTGGGAGGCTGTGGAGGGCCAAGGGGGGACCTGGAGGGACAAGGGGGTTATGGAGGCCGTGGGAGGACATGGGGGGATGTGGAGGCCATGGGAAGATGTGGAGGGCCGAGGGGGAACCTGAGGGGACGAAGGGGTCGTGGAGGCCATGGGAGGATGTGGGGGGGATGTGTGAGGATCTGGGGGGACGAGGGGGTCGTGGAGGCCGTGGCGGGACGTGGGGGGATGTGGGAGGACCTAGAGGGACGAGGGGGGCTGTGGAGGCTATGGGAGGACATGAGGGGATGTGGAGGCTGTGGGAGGACATGGAGGGCCGTGGAAGGATGTGGGAGGACCTGGGGGTTGAGGGGGTCTTGGAGGCCGTGGGGGGACATGGGATGTGGAGGCTGTGGGAGGATGCGGAGGCTGTCGGAGGATGTGAGGGGATATGGAGGATGTGGGGGGATGTGGAGGCTGTGGGAGGACATGGAGGACATGGGGGGATGTGGAGGTAGGATGTGGAGGCCATGGGGGGACGGGGGGAGGGCGTGGGAGGATGTGGGGGAATGAGGAGGACGTGGAGGGCCGAGGGGGGACATGAAAGGATGTGGGGGGATGTGGAGGATGTGGGGGGATGAGGGGTGCTGTGGAGGACGTGGGGGGACGTGGGGGGCTCAGGAGGACCTGGCTGGTGCAGGAAGAGAACCTAGGGATGGAAGGAGGCTGCCTGGGAGGAGGACACCGCCACCGGGAAGCCCACCCCAACCGGCCCACCATCACAGCTGCCGCCGCCCAGGTTTCCTAGGAGACGCGGGGCAGAGAGGTTCTGCCTCCCTCATCCCCCTGCCAGGTGCCCCCCTGGGGTTTTGTGAGTGAGCGAGCACTGAGCCAGAGTCCAGAGACGCAGCCTGCCGTGTGGCTCGGGAGCTCTGGCTCTTCTCGAGGCTGTTTAAAAATAACCATGTCTCCCTGCCTGTCGGTCCCCCCACCCCCACCCCCTGCCAGCTCCCACCCCCAGCCCCGCGTCCCCCACCCCTAAGCCCCTTGCCCTCACTCATCTGCACTTTTATTCCCTCTTGCCCTTGAGCTGAATTCACCTCATGAGGTTCCCCGCCTGCCAGGATTGGGTGGCCCCAACCACCCCCACTTTTCTGATGCAATTTTGCTTCTGGTTGAGAGAGGGTCTCTGGTAGGTGCTAACTGGGCTCTAATACAGCTTGACCCTATTTATGCTATGCAAGGGATTGGACAGGAACTGTTTGCTGGAAATAAGTTGTCTGAGTAGATGGATGTTGAGTGTCGCCAGGGCCACCACGTACAGTTGCACAGGTTGTGCACTATAACAAGGGCTCTTGGTGAGCTGGGGCTGAGATCCAGCCATGTTCCCTTCACCCAGCCTGGTATCTGCCATAGCCCTGCATGTCCCCACAGGGGGTGCCCTTCCTAATACACAGCACCTGGGAACCGGCCTCCCCAAAGCAGGAAGTGGGTTTTCACAGGGACCATTGCTCTATTCCCAGCCCAAGTTCCTGGGCTCCCTGGCCTCCTCACCTCTCCCAGGCCTTAACCAGCCCCCAGCAAGCTCTGAGTGGTGGGTTCTGCCCTGAGGCCTGCAGAATGGCAGCCTTTATCGGGAGCCAGCCCTCCCTCTGGCAGTGCATGATACCCAGAAGATGGAGTGGCTGCCGTGGGAAACGCCAGCCACGCTGTTATCTGGGAGGCTCGGCCCGCCGGCCCTGGGGCTCCGATTAGGCAGCGTGGCTGTTTGCCTGTGGGTGCCCGCGTGGGCGGGGCGGGGAGGCACCCTGGCTCCCTCCTTCCCTGCATCACTAGGAGGGCCAGGCCCTGAGACAGAAAGCTCAGGACAGCACAGCCTGGGAAGCCTGGGGCTGCCCACATCCCCCTCAGCTCTCGGGGACCCCCCGGGCCAGCCCCCCACGTGCTGAGGGATGGTGGGCCTCCAGCCTCAGTGAAAGGTGCCCTCTCCTGATGGGGCCTCCCTGTCCCATGAGTCCTTCCACATGTTCTGGACGCTAGCAGGGAGCTCAGTGGAAATGGAGGGGCTCTGGGTCACCATCCATGTGGTGTCTGTGGTCCCAGCAGGAGAGATGGAGTCCAGAGAGGCGCGCGGGCTTCCCTGTTCTGATGCCCACATGCAGGCGGACCCCCGGATTCTTAGAGGCTTCTGGTCACCTGCAGAGGGGCAGGCCACAGCATGAGGACACTGGACGATGCCCCCCTGACCTACCGCCATGAGCTGGGAGCCGGGAGTGCGGTGCCCAGCCAGGCTCAGTCCATCGTGGGCTCCCACGCATCAGTTGGCTTGACGGACGGCCGGGTGGACAGACCATGCATCCCCAGCCAGCTTGCCTTTAGATAGCTTTATGCTCCTCCCTCCGTCCCTCACACATGCCAGTCCCCTGAGGGCCAGCCGGGCAGGGAATCAGGGACCCACATACACCCAGGGCCCTGGGTCAGCGCTACAGTGGGGTGGCCTGGGTTCAGATCCTGACCTCCTGCTGCGTGGCCTCTCGGGACCTCAGTGTCCTCATCTGGATCGGGGATGTGAAGAGAGGACCAACTTCATGGGACCATTTGAGCGGGCGTGGGTGACCTTGTGGCAGCTAGACATACTCCCATCCCTGAGGATGGGCCCTGCAGGGCCAGGGAGGGGGTGGCCCATGGGCAGAGCCCTGGGCTGGGGCCCCAGTGTCCTGGCAGGCTGGCAAGGGACGTGGCCCCTCATGGGCAAGCTGCAAAGTGACAGAGCCTGCCTCTGCCCCCCTCTCTGGGGGGCTGATAAAGGGGCGCCGGTCTCCTCGGCCTCGTCCTGGTCCCCTGCCATCTTATCTGCCCCAGGGAAGACAAGGACCCAGTTAGAACGTTTTAGCTGGGCCTCCTGGCGTATTTACACGTTATCTCTGCCATTAGGCCGGCAGTTATCTGATAATCGGGCCCATTAAGGCCACAGCCTGCCCGATCGGGGCTCCAGGAAGTGGGGCCGCCGCCACAGCCTCGCTTGGGGACCAGGCCAGGCCACGTGAGGCCTCCATGGGCCCAGGCAGCCCAGATGGCACCCGATGCACGAGGTTGCTGGGCCTTCCTAGGCAGAGGGTGTGGGATCTGGAAAGGGTCCCCCAATTGAGGGCATGACCACCCCGGTCCCCTTGTCCCATGAGGATGCAGAGGCAGGCACATGGGCAGGTAATGTGCCAGGTGTGAAGCTCCCAGGGCAGCCTTAAACTGGGGCCTTGGGGCCTTAAACTCTGAGAAATCTGGGCCAGACATCCCCGATGGAGGTGTGCCAGGATTGTGTGCCCTTTGGCAGCTCTGGGGGATGGTCCTTCCTGGCTCTCAGGGCTTTGGGGGCTCCTGGGCAGCTTCCTCCTTGCCCGTCACGTAGTCCCTGCCTGTCTGCATGCAGCCTTCCCCCCATGTCTCTTCTGTATGTTGTTTATAAGGACATGTGTCTTGGGATTTAGGGTCCCACCAGGTAATCCGGCATGGTCTCCTCTCGAGCTCCTAATGTAATTGCATCTGCAAAACCCTTTTTCCAAATAAGGGCTCGTTCACAATTTCAAAGTGGTTGTATCTTTGGGGCGCTCACATTCATGTGGGTCACATGGTGAGGCTGGGCTGAACCAGGAGCCTGACTGCAGACCCTCTTGGACCCCAAGTCCCACCCTAGGGAGATTGACTGCCTCCGGGGCTCACAGAGGCCCATATGTCTGTTTTAATGTAGCTACACCTTGGGGTGGCCCTGCAACAGGCACCATGGGAGCCGCTGCCTGGGCCACAGGTGCCATCAGAGCCCAGAGAGTCTGCTGCCCCCACGTGGCACAGGCAGCTGCAGCCGCCCCCCCCCCCCCCCCAGCCTCTTACACCTCTAGGAGAGGCCGGGCAGAGAGGCAGCACAACACAGGACCCCAACCTTTCCAGAAAGTGAGAGGAGGTCCTGGGATGGGCAGCCACACTGGGGTCCCTGCTGATCCCCGAACCTGCTGATTCACAGGGAGAGAACGGAGCCTATGTCAGGGCCACCCAGGTGCAAATTCTGGCTTTGCCGAGGGCCTTGGGGTGGAGCATGGCTCTTTGACTTGGTTTCCCCTCTGTGAGCTCTGTGCTGAGCATAGTGGTGGGTGAACAAGCCCTGTGCAGCCTGAGGAAGCAGGGAGTGCTGGGGTCCCCACCTTAGAGATGTGGAAATCAAGGTCCAGCATTTCCACGGCTACCTCACAGGCTTGCTCTATGGATCTGGGGGCTCCAGCCAATGGGGAGGGGCAGGAGGCAAGCCTTATCAATGCCGCCGTCCACCATGTGCCTTCCATGACATAAGCTGCAGGGATGAGCCGGCTCTATGCGCACGTTCCGGGCGGCCTCATGGCCGCCACCCTGTGCTACATGAGACGTGTGTCCTAACGGGGCAGCATGGTCCACCTGCTCAGTCCAGCTCCAGGCACCCCATCCTGCCACCTGCTGTCCCTCCCCAACAGGGCCTTGCTGCAGGCGCTGGCTGGGCTCCCAGCATCCAGGCACTGACCGCTGTCCCCATATCACAGGCCCAGGCCACAGGGCGCCCCCCACCACCCGGGCAGCTGCTCCTGGGGGGCCGGGGACTGCACAGCTGGACCACACCCGGGCAGGTGGCAGGGCGGGATGGTCCCCTCAGCTGGGCATGCCTCATACCCGATACTTCTCCCCACAGACGAGCTGGAGCTGGTGCTGCAGGACGGGCAGAGGTGCGTGCGAGCTCGACACAGCCTCTCCGAGGGCCTGTCCTGGGGCCCCTTCCATGGGAACATCCAGAGCAGAGCCTCGTCCCCTGGGCAGGTGGAACCGGTAAGGAGCCCTGACCCCAGCAGCCCACCCACCAGCTGCAGGACAGCAGCCAGGGCAGTCTGGCCCAGGGCACAGAGCCCTGCCACCCCTGGAGCCAAGCCCCAGTTATACTCCAGCCCAGAAGTGCCTGCCCCTCTGAGTGCGTCAGGAGATGGGCACCTAAGGCCTTGGGACCAGGGCAGCAGGAAGCAGTTGACTGGGAGTACATGGAAGGCTTCCTGGAGGAGGTGGCACAAAGAGGGCTTCCTGGAGGAGGATTCTTTAAGTGGGCCCTTAACAGAAGAGTAGAAGTTGGCAAGACAGAGAAAGAAGGTGTTTGAAGTAAGGAGGCAGCAAGGGGCCACATGGTGGCTGGATGTGGCCTTTGTGGGCAGGGCAAGCAATGAGGTTTTCCAGGAGCTGCAGCAGAGGCTGAGGTCCGCAGAGGCTGAAGTCTATTCTGTCCCTGTGGGTCTTTCTGATGATGGGGGGGGGGATGTTACCTCCCCCTGTAACTATGAAGCCCACCTGGGCAGTGACCTCCCGCTAGACCCTGCCATCACCAAGCAGTCACTCGTGTCGGGGTTACTCCTAGGCTGCCTCTGGACAGCAGGGTGGCTCTGCATCCTCTCACAGGGGCACAAAGGCTCCTTTTAACATACGTTTCAGTGAAGAAAGGGCACCGATGCACCGGAAATGGGTCAGCACGTCAGGCAACCGAGTGGGCAGCACACGGTGAGACAAGAACCAGGAGGCCCCTCCCAGCCCTGACGCCGGCCACTCGAAAGGCCAGGAGGCACCCTAGGTGGGTCCCCTAAGTCCAGGCTCAGGCACCCAGACATGCAGGCATAGCCATGGCCCAGGCCCTCCCTGAGTCCCGATGTGGCATCCAGGTGCACCCTGTGGTGCTGGCCTCTGGTCAGCAGGCAGTGGCAGGACTGCAGGGAGAGGTCTCCCCACATCTAGAGGCCAGATGCTGCCCTGACAGTGACATCCAGCTCCAGCCTGGTGCTCCGAGCCCCATGTCTCAGCCACAGAAACCAGGGCCCGGGAACTCGGCCTACAGCAGCATCCCAGGGCTGGTGGACAGTTGCAGGTGCTCAGTCTGCCATTCACAGTGCCCACCGCATCAGAATCTGGGCTGGAGCCTGGGCCTCCGGAGATGGGGCTGTCTCCCAGGGTCTAAACGTGCAGCCCAGCTGTGCCCCCCCCCTCCCCGGGCCATCCACACAGCCCATCACAGCCAAGTGCCCAGGCTCAGAGGGGTACATGCCGGCCTCAGCTGCTCAGCAAGAGGCTGGCCCAGGACCAAGGGCCTCCACCCCCATGACCAGGTCATCCCTGTGGCACAGGGTCCAGATCCCAACACTTCCCTCATGGCTGTTTCCTTCCCTGGCAGGCTCCTAAGCTACTTGAGCTTCTGCTTCCTGAGCCCATGGGGCCTCAAGGGGACACAGGGAGTCCCTGAAGGGTCCCTGGGGCCCAAGCCTGCAGACCCTCCAACATCCCTGCAGAGGAGAGGGTAGGCGGGCAAAACTGCAGCTTAACTGCAAAGTGGGGCAGCTGGTGGCATGCCCACCTCCCAGGGCAGCTGGGCAGGTAAATGAGGTGGTGCCTGCAAGGTGGTTACCACAGGGCAGGGCTTGCTCAGCTTGCTCTTGCCCTGTGGCCCAAGCAGAAAGAAAATAGCGGAAATCAACTGCAAGGCATGATTTGGCTCCAAGGAGGGGACGGAGACTATGGTGTTCAGAGCAGTTCCTTGAGGCAGTGAGCTCCCCATCACTGGAGGCATGCAAGCAGCAGTTGACTTTTCAAAGGGTGGGCTGTTGGGGGGCAGTTCAGGGCTGGGAGGAGGAGTGGCTGGCTGGGCTGGAGCTCCCTGGCTCTGAATTCTCATAAGCAGTGACAAGATAAAAGTGTGCAGCTGTGTGTGGCCACACCCCTCTCATCAGCTCCCTCCTGTGGGGCAGTCAGCCCCTTCCAGGACAGGTGTCACTCACTGCACACACTAAGGAGCACCCATTCTTACGCATGGGCCCTGGTCTTCCCTGCCCGCACCCTGTGAGGCATGCTCCCCATTTTACAGATGAGGAAACTGAGTATCCGGCAGGTTAAGTGACTTGGTATACTCACCAGGATCAAATAGCAGAAGTAGAATTGCAACCCCTCTGCCCAAGCCAAGACCCCTGCAGGCTCTGTAAGGACAGGGCGGAGCCGGCCCCAGGGTCTGTGCCCCGCCCTTCTCTCTGAGGGTTTTGTCCTCCTTGGGCCCAGGGCGCAGGTCAGCCTGGGGAGACCTGGCACGAGGTTGGAGACGCTCTCCAGGCGGAGAGATAATGTCCACAGGGAGCGAGGGACTAGCGCCAGGGAAGCCAGTGGCCTTTGAGGCTCTTGCCGAGGAGCTGAGGGAGGAAGGAGCCTCGCCTGCTCTTCCCTGCAGCTTTATCTCCTACAGAATTAAATCCTTGATTAACCCTTATCTCCCCAGCAGGCGCTATCTGCGCCTTGGCGCCGAGTGTCCAGACACACCGTACACGATGATTGATTTCTTAAAGATAGCGCGCTTTTCCGATACTTCATTTATTGTCTAAATATTTTTGCTAACATTTCAGCGAGCCCCTTATCGAGCTCAGCTGATGGGTCCCAGTTCTCTCCCCCATGCACCTCCCGCCCCAGATGGTCCTATCAGCCGCCAGACGGTTTCTTAGCTGTTTGGAAGGGAGAAGGGGCCCTGATGGAGTATGGCAACCCTTCCCTGCTGGTTTCCTTAGGCCAAGAGCTACTTGCAGGGGATGGGGGTGGCTCCTCCCATGAGACTTTGGGGATGGGAACCCCAGGAAGTATGCAGAGCAAGTGCACATAGCCTGGCAGGAGTCAAGAGTGGTTCCTGCACCAACTTTCAGTGTGACCTTGGGCTGGTCCCTCCCTGATCCAGCTGAGGCTTCTACTTCCCAGGGTTTGGAAACCCAGCCAACTCTAAAATTTGCAATCAGATACAAAAAAAAATGTTCAGAATTGTTGGGTGGATAGATGACTGGGTGGGTGGGTAGGTGGACAATGGATGAATGGATGGATGGATAGCTGATAGATGGATGAGTGGGTAGGTGGATAGATGGATGGGTGGGTAGGTAGGTGGATGGATGAATGGATAGATAAATGGATGGCAGATGGGCAGGTGGGTAGATGGACAGATGGAGTGGATGAATGGATGGGTGTGTGGATGGATGAATGGACAGACAGATGGATAAATGGATGGCAGATGGGCGAGTGGACAGATGGATGGATGAGTAGATGGATGAATGGATGGGTAGGTGGATGGATGAGTGGACGGACAGATGGATGGATAAATGGATAGCAGATGTGCGGGTGGATGAATGAATGAGTAGATGAGCTCATGAAGAGTGAGTGAATTCTCATGCCCAGTGTGGTCCCCAGTGGTTCGGCCCATCTATCTGTCCAGTAATCCCCCCAGGGCTTACCCACTGTAGCTAGAGGCCATCATGACATCAGTGAGACCAGGAAGGCAGCAGGTCGGCTGGGGAGAGGCCCCTTCCAGAGCAGCTGGAATGAGACCAGCTGGGCCCCACCTTGCCTTGCATCTTCATGCAGGCATCAGCATAGAGGGGCCTTAGGTGAGTCTCCTCCATCCTTTAGCTAGAGATAGGGTGGGGCTGGGGCCCTTGGGGCCCATGGGCTCTAAGCAGCCCTCGTGCAAGAAGCCCTGAGGCTGGCAAGAGGGTCATTGCCCGACAGAGCCCAGCCTCCCATCAGGGCCACCCAGCTCTGCCTCTCTGCTCTTGTAAGGACATTTGTCACTGGATTTAGGACACACCTGGATAATCTAAGAGGATGTTCTCTGGGTTGTCTTTAATCACATCTGCCAAGACCTTTTTCCAAATAAGGCCATGTCCACAGGTGGACATATATTTTGGGATCATACAGCCAGCTCCAGAAAGCTAGCAAGCTGCAGAACCAGGGTCCAGCCCGTGTTGGCCCCTGACCCTCCACGGGGCAGCCCCTGAGGGGATGGTCAGGTTGGGGCTCTGCTGGAGCACCAGGTAGTGAGGAGGTAGTGCCCTTAGGTGGGCATCCTCTGGGACAAGCCCCAGAAAGGAGGCCTGCCACTGACCTTCTGGGGTCCCTGACTCCCTTCCTCCCCACGCCTCAGCCTCTCTGCCAGGAGTTGTAGGATCAGGGTCTGGGAAATGCTGTGGGTGCAAAGGGCTGACTCATACCATCCTCCTGGAGGCCTAGGAGGAGCAACCACCTGGTCTCAGAGACCCTGGGACCCCTCCCACCACACTGGAAAGACTGGAACTCTAAGGAGTGGGAGAGGCCTCTCCTCCTGGGACCAGGAAAGCCATCTGCACCAGACCCACCCTTACAGCTGGCTCCCTCCCTGGGCCCAAGGGCCACCCAAAGAAGAGGGCTGGGGGCCATATGGGAGCTGTCCAAGCAGCTCACTCCCGCCATACCTCATGTTGTTCTCAGCTTGTCTCTCTAGCTCGTTCTGCCTCCAGCCTTCCATTGGTGGTTTCTTAACGGCCTCCCCACTCCAGCATCCACACTGGGAGACCAGGATGGCATGTTCTGTTTATGGCACCCACACGCCAGGCACACGCCAGGCTCTGTTCAACAAACGAGCAGACGGATGGGTGGAGGCAGAAAGGGAAGGATAGGTGTATGGAGGAGTGAACAGATGGTAGATGGATGGGTGGGTGGGTGGATAGGTAGGTAGTGGAGGGGTGAATAGATGGTGGATGGAAGGAGGGAAGGGTGGATGGGTGGGTAGGTGGGTAGATGGGTAGATGAGTTAGATGGATATGTGAATGGGCAGGTGGATGGAGGGGTAAATGGATGATGGAGGGAGAGAGGGAAGAGTAGATGGTTAGATGAGTGGATGGATGTGTGAATTGGGTAGGTGGGTGGAAGGGTAAATGGATGGTAGATGGAGGAGTGGGTGGGTGGATAGGTAGGTGGTGGAGGAGTGGGTGGGTAGATAGATGGGTAGGTGAATGGAGGGGCTAATGGATGGTAGGTGGATGGAGGGAAGGAAGGATGGATGGATGGATAGATGGATGGTAGATGGAGGGAGGGAAGGTGGATGGATGTAAGGAAGCTGAGATCATGCAGACCCAGGTTCTAGTCCTGTGTGCACACAGCCACTTCCTGTGACCTGGGCATCACTCAGCTCTGTGAGCCTCAGTTCTCATCTGTGAAATACTTTCTTCTCAGGGTCTGGGGGAGACAAGGAGCCAAGGACAGAAAGGCGGTTGCCTCTGGGAGGGTGAGCAGGACAGGGACAAGACATCTCAGGATAAGCTGAAGGAGGGAGGTGGGTGGGGGCCCCCATCAGAGCCCAGACTGAGCCTGCCCCAGCCCTGACCTCCCGTGAACCTCCCCACAGTGGCCCCGGGGGAGGCCTGGGCAGCCCCCACTGCCCTTCTGCAGGGCCGTCTGGCTTGCTCAGCTGGGCCACCCCCTTCCCCTGCCAGAATGGAGCTCCTACCTCCCCTTAATGCCGCTCCGTGAGATGGCCAGCAAGGTTTGGGAACAGCCTCAGATAAAGTCGCAGCGGATGGGGCCGAGATAGAGTTTCCGATGGTTATCAGCAGGCACAGAATCCAGACACTGACCTCTTTGTTGGGGGAAACAAGGAGTGGTCTCAGATGCACCCGGAGAACTTGAAGTGGACGCCCGTTATCTCAGGGCCGGGTGGGGCCATCCTGCAGCTGGCAGGAACAGACAGCACCCCAAAGGGCTGCAGGCAGGGTGGGTGGAGGGACTTCTTTTGACCCCGACACAGCCTGTCCAGGGTGAGCTGGACCCACACCGGCACAGGGGCGGCTACAGAGGGAGGGTGGCTGGCAGCACGCACGTCTCTGGGAGTTGGGGCAGAAGGGCTGGGCAGTGGGGGGGTGCCAGCCCCTCCCAGGCTTACGCCCCTCGTCAGTGCCCACGGGCAGCATGGGGTCGGCTAGGACGGGGCCTGCATCTGCCCAATGCCTGCAACCAGCAGAGGAAGGGATTCCTGTCCCACTCCAACTAGAGGGGAAAACTGACAGGGGGGCAGCCAGGCGGGTGGCGGCCCCAGATCTCCCGGCCCCTCTGCTCCTGGCCTGCCCGTGCCCTCCTGCGCCCCCTCCCCGGGCAGCTGCTGCCACGCAGGCGCTGGGCCCGGGCGGGACCGTGGCGCCGCCGCCTTCGCTCGGGGGAAGTACACGGAGAACTAGGGTTCTGCAGTGTCAGCAAAGCCGTGTGCGTTTTTATCATGCCAGGAGCACGCTGCTCCTGCGAGTGATAAGCATTAAACCTACCGGGAGGCTGTCAGTCTCAGTTTGAGGGTTAGAAATATTGGGACGAATAATTAGATTTCATATCGTTACCACAGCGCCAATCGGAGAATCAGGCAGATTAATTTTTTTCACCCTCCTCTGCTCATTAATATTCATTAGAGACTCAGGAGGCCCGGCCCCGCCTTGCTGCAGGCTGCTGGCCAGGTCGGCCCAGCCAGGACACGGGGGCCACCAGTCACCTGCCACTATGGCAGCCCTGCCAGCCACTGTGCCCCCCCCCCCCGTGGCTGTGACCCACTGGAAGCCTCCTGAGCCGGCGGGGACCCCCAGCCGACGTCCTGTTCTGCCGCTGTGGGCACAGCAAAAAGCAGGGTGTTGCCTGTTGCCAGCCTGCCCTGAGCAGGCTCCTTGGTGGGGACATTCTCCCCAAGCTGACAAGTGGCAGCAGCTGGCCTGGGGCCCCAGTGGACCCCACCCTTCCGGGCGGCCCAAATGCACAGTTCCTGCTCGCTGGGTCCTGCTGGCCAAAGGGAAGGCAAGAGCAGGGAGCGGGGGGGCGGGGGGCAGGCTCCTGTTTGCGATGTGCTGGTTGTGTGCCAGGTGGGCACCACTGGAAGGGAGGGCTTCACACAGATGGGTACTTCCCAGTGCCCTAGGAGGGGCTGAGCTGCAGAGAGAGAAAGACCGAGCCCCCCAGCCCTACCCCGAGAGCAGGTGGCAGGACGATGGCAGGTCTGGAACAAGCATGTGGGTTGGCTCACAGCTCCAAGCAGGAGGGGCATCATCACCCATTTGCAGAGAGGGCCAGCATGGGTGCAGGCTGGTTCTGCTCCCAGGGCCAGGGCTCTCCCTTCTGACCACTAGTCTCCACTTGCCCCTCCCATGGCCAAGCCACATAGCGGCTCCACTGGCCACGATGTGCCAACCTCGTTGGGAGCTGTCCCCAGGAGTGCTGGGCTTGTAGGCCTGATCTTCCTGGGTCCTTGAGTCGGCTGCAGGGTGGGGACAAGCAGCCAGAGTGCAGAGAGGGGCCGCCTCGGGTTGCAGGGTGGTACTTGGCTCAAGGTCACAGCGAGGGAGGCCAAGCCCAGACTGGACCCGAGTGCCCAGCTCTGGAGCCCGTGTCATCCCTGAACAGTAGGCAAAGCCCCTGGTCTTGGACCTGGCAAGGAGGTACCCAGAATCTGTCAGAGGACACCTCATACACCATCATTTGACTGGCTGTAACACCAGGGTGGTGTCCCGGCCGGCTGCTGTGTGTGCCCCTGGTCTAGGTGGCAGCATTTCCAGGTGATACTGGTTCTCCAGATCAAGGTCCTGATGCACCATTTCTGAATAAAAGGTGCTTATTTGCATAAAACAGAAGTACCCAAAATGGATACGTACTGTGCCTTTGCACATGGTACCTGGTGGCTGAGCTTGGGCACCCCTGGTCAGAGCAGCCTGGGGCCGTGGGCCTGGGTATGGCAGCCATCACCCCAACTTCCTAGTGCAAAGCAAGGTCAGGCAAAGCAAGGTCATGGCAAAACCCCCGCTGCCAGCCCTTCACAGCCCTGTGCCGCTCTCTCCACGTCTGACCAGGGCCGGGCCATGGAGTGGGGCCGCAGGCAGCCTCGCCCTCCCCAGCACCAGGCTGTTTCCTCCCCTGCTGGGGTGGCCCTGGGTGTCAGAAATCAGACCCCCCACCCCCACTCTGCAGGCCCACAGCAGCAGCCTCATGGGCGGAACCCAGAGCACTCTTGCCCTGTGGGCACTATGAGGGCCCAGCTTGCAGGGAACAGGGGACACAACGTGGCTGGGTAAGGTGGTACTCACCCCACACGCCCACTTCCCCCTCCCCCAGCCCACTTCCCCTCCTTCAGGCGGGGGAAGGGCTAACCCCAGTGACGGCAGCCTCAGGGGAGCCCCGGGGAGGTGACCAGGTGCTGAGCCGGCCTTGGCCTGGGGAACTCAGAGGATGTTCTGGTGTCTGCTGTGTGCTGGCCTTGGGCTAGAGGGGACAGAGGTGGGCCTGCCATGCCCTGCAGCAGGCAGGGACCCACCACACACACATACCTTGGGGAGGACACAGAAGCCCCTCTCTGGGGAGACACCGTCTCCCCAAGGCCAATCTCAGCCTCTGTTCACGGAGCTCGCTTTGGGGGCCTATGCAGGACAACCTGTGTGCGGGGTGGCCTATGCACCCCGTGGACCACCAGAGGAAGGAGGCAGGGAGAGAATCCCTGCTCTGCAGCCCCCTGGCTGTGTGACCCTGAGTGAGTAGTTTGACCTCTCTTGGAAGAGCACCCGGTGCTCCGTGCAAGGAAGATCAGCTCCCTGCTGCCGCTGCTGGCTGCCGGCTCCGTGGTGCTGAAGGGGGAGCAGGGGGCTGCAGCCCGGCCACCCTGCTGGGGCCTCTCAGGCTCTTCCCTCTGCACTACGCGGGACCCCTAGCCAGGCTCTTCCTGTGCTGTGTCCCTGACAAGCCCCCTTGCTTCCCCACCCCCAGGGCCCGGCCCTGACCCTGCTGCTGGGGGATGAGCCCTGCTGGCTGAGGACGCTGCCCCAGGCCCTGACCGAGGCTGAAGCCAACGCGGAGATCTACAGGAAGGGTTGGTATCACGGCGCTTCCCTCCTGGTCCCTCGCGGCCTTCCGGCAGGTGGGGCTCACTCAGCTGTCCCTGGGCTGGCCCTTAAAGGGAAAGCAGCCTGCTTGGGCTGAGCAGCCTCTGATGAGGCTGATGAAAGGAGCGGCCCTGGGGTTTCAGGGCCAGGATGCTGCTGCTCGACTGCTCTCAGGGCCTCTTGGAGATCACCAGGGTCCACAGGGAATCCCAGGATTTGGAGACCACCAGGGTCAGCAGACAGTCCCAGACGAGGTGGGCTGAGGTGCCGACTAGACCACAGCCCATTCCAGGGAAGAGCAGGAGGGCCATGTTCAGACCTAGCCACATGGGGCCTGGGCCACATCCCCTGGCCTTCTTGGACATCTGTTTCTTTAAGAGACTGAGAGCTCATCCAGACCCAGGGGCTTCTGCGCCTACCTGCCTGCACCGTCTAGAAGGAGCATCCCCCCTGCCTACACGCAGCCAGTTCAGAGGGCTCAGGAGCTTCCATTTCCAGAGCCAAGGTCCTGCCTGCCTGGGAGGTTTGACCCTGAAGTGAAGTGTGACACAGCCTTGCCAGTGTATGTCAGGGCAGTGGGGACCCCCGACCACCCCATCACAGACAGGAAGGCTCAGGCCCAAGGGGATGATGTAAGCACAAAATTGTGGCAATTTCTCCAACCAGGCCAGGTCTGTCCGGCCCAGCGCAGCCATCAGGAAGGTGTATGCCCACCACCCATAGGACATGGCCTCATTCTCCTGTGGGGGCCTGCGCTTTGCCGGAATGTTCAGGGTGGGGGGGCACAGCCACATTGCCTCCCTGCATGCAGCATATTCAGCTGAGTAATCCCAGCAGAGGCATAGCTTTGTCCTGAGGGCAGCTCTCATTTCAGGAGGAGCCAGAGGCCTTCGGGGGCAGGGCAGGGGACACGAGGTCATGGCATCCTCTCACTCCAGCCCATGCCCACCTGGGGCCTCCCCAGCATGATGGAGGTACAGCACAGGTGCTGAGCCCAGCATCTGGGAACCTGGCCTGCGCTTTGTCCTCTGTACCTGCTCCCCCCGCCCTCCTCCCATCGAGGTGATGCTCAAAGGACCCAGACAGCAGCCAGAAGGGACTGAAGGCCCCAGTGTTGGCAGTGAGTGGCCAGACACGTGTCTGCTGCCCAGCCAGGACACGGGCCATTAGTGCTGCCTGGCCCATCCTCCCGCCCTGGTCAGCAGGGCTCCAGCCACAGTGTGCCAGGCAGGACAAGGTCCTCACGGAGCTGACGGGGTGAGGCTGGCCTGGGAGGTAGAGGGCAGGGCCGTGTTCCTGGCAGTCTGGAGGTGGACGCAAAGGTGGGCAGGCGGGTGCCTGGTGGCTGGCGGAGGCTGCCCCCTGCCGGCTCCTGTGGGAACAGCCGCTCCTAGGGGAGCTGTGAGGAGAACACCTGCTTAGCAGCTGCCTGCCCTGACCCCTGCCCCTGGGCCCTGCTGTGCCTGGCCCTCAAGCCACCCCTCTCCTGGACAAAAGGACCGGCACTGCTGTCTTTAGGGCCCTCCTACTAGGCAGGAGCAAGCAGACCTGAGAAGCCACCGGTCGGGTGAGGCAGGGTGGCTTATTACAGAGACAGGCCTGACACACCCCCTGACCAGGGCCCTGGCTCTATCCCCCATGTCGAACCTCAAAACCCTGGCCTCCAGGAGGAGGCAGTACAGTGGGGCTCAGGACAGCAGGGGGTGGGCAGCACCTTAGAGGGGCAGTGGTGAGCCCCCAACGGCCAAGGCCCTCCCGTCACCCAGGATTCCGCCCCTGCAGATGAAGCCCTCTGGTGCAGAGTCACCAAGCCGGTGCCGGCAGGCGGGCTGCTGAGCGTGCTCCTCATGGTGGCCGAGCCCCGTGGCACCCCCAGCCACCCTGTGAAGAAGGAGCCAGCAGAGCCCGAGTGCCCGACCCCTGCACACGCCGACATCCAGCTCCTGCCCCAGCAGGCCGGCATGGCATCCATCCTGGCCACAGCAGTCATCAACAGTGAGTATGCTATCGTGCCACCTGGGCTCCGTGACAGTGCCAGGACCACCCCCAGGACTTCAGGGTACACAAAGATAGGTGACCACTGAGGTCTGAGCAGGGTGGAGGGGTGTGCTGCAACAGCTGAGCATGGGGGGATGGGGCAGGTGCCAGGCTACCCCGGCAGGGTCCCCACCAGCTGGACAGGCAGCCAGGCCCAGCTGCGGAGCAGAGCAGGCTTCTTAACTGCAGCAGCATGGACATGCCCAGGGTGGGATGCTGAGCAGCAGCCTGGTTCCCGCCCCACAGATGCTGCAGCCACATCCACACCCGCCCCTACCTCAGGACAGAACTGCCCCATGAGAATAGCTGGGGTGGAAGGACTGCCACTAGCTCCCTGCCACGATGCACATTAAGGGTTTATTCTGCACCCTGCACATCCACACTGAACCCAGTGGTCCAGGACCCAAAGTCACCACGGTGGGGGTGCCGGCCTGGCCCCAGGGCACCACTACCCTGAGCAGCACAAGGCAGCCTGACTAGGAGGGGGCAGTGGCCTCCAGCACGGCACATCTCCCCAAGCGCTTCCAGGCAAGGATTGCTTCTCAGAAAAACAGAACACAACAAGGGTTTAGATCCAAGTGCTTTGATATCACCCTGGCTGCTAGGTGACAACTGTAAAGCAGCAAACTTGGGGAAAAGTGGGCTTTTGGGGAAGTCAGACAGGAAGATGGCTTGAAGCATGTGGAAGCAGCTGAGGCCCAGGCCCAATGGGGCACCGGAGCCCACAGGGACTAGCCCTGTCCCCTTAGTATCCCCACTGTGAGCATCCTGACCCCCAGATGCCCATGGGACACTGAAGGGGAGGCTTGGAGGCGGCCAGGGGACAGGCAGCAGCAGCTGAGGGCAGTGGGGTGCCTGCATCCTGGCCACGGACAGACCAAGGGCAGCAGCATGACCACTGGGCAAACCTGACAGAGCTAAGTGAGCAGGAGGGAAGAAGTGTGCAGAGGGGACACAGCTTGCATTGCTGGAACTCAGGTGTGAGGTTGTGGGTTGGCAGAAATGACTCAGGGACACCAGAGTTCACGGGGATCAGCTGCAGCTGTGAGATTCACCCACACACACACACCCTTGTGGGAACATGGGTCCCCAGGAGGACTGGGTGCAGGCCCGAGGGGGTTCCTGAGCAAGCAGGACCCCATTCAGACACTGGGGTGGCAGGGGAGAAGGGAGATGGGAAGGGGCTCTCAGGGGCCAGGACGGCCGCCTCATCAGCACAGACACGTGTGCATATAAAGCCCATAGTGGCACAACAGGCTCAGTCGGGTCCCCAGGGCTGAGGCGTGGGCCCCCGTCTTCTCTGTCCAGGCTGCTCCAAGGAGGTCAAGGGAGTCCCAGGCACCAGGAGGGCTTTCTCCCTTTGGTCTGAGGCTTTGGTGTCCACGCCTCACTGGGAAGCAGCAAGAATGCTGCTGTCGTGGGCTACACACCTTGTTCACAATCCACCCCCCACCCCACCCCCACCCAAGCATGGGCCTGTCTGCCTCTGGGCCTAGAGAAGCCTTAATACAGAGTCCATCATACCTCGTTTCATTTTTGAAACGCGACCACTCTGGGCCTCTGTTTTCTCACCCATGAGATGGGGGCAGTGGTAGCACCAGGTTACCTGGCACAACCAGAACGTGGCCCAAGGTCAGCCCTGGGGCTGTGGGACCCTAACAATCCTCACTAAACCTCAGGGCTATGGCCAGGGCCTGGATGGGCCTGAGGCCCTCACCCTTCTCCCTACCCATGGCCCAAGGTACTGTTCCCAGCCCTGGCCCCCAGGTACAGAAACAAGCCCACCAGTGGCCTTTCAGATCCTGTTCCCAGCTCAGGGCCTCAGTGAACAGGACAGAGCTGGCTTGAAGCCCCCAAATAAAAGCAAACTTTAAAGGGAGGAAGGGAACCCCCTCTACCTTAACTGTGGACCCAGAATAAACATCAGAAAGGCCAGGGTGAGAAGCACATGCTAACATGCAGTCAAGCCTGGAACAGGCCATGGAGACAAACAGCATTCCTTTAAGTTCTGCCCTAGACACTGAGGACCACCCCTTAGAGAAACCAGGGAAACCTTCACCAGCCGCAGTGCGAGCTAAGTCACAGCCACCTGTCTGCGATAGACGGGGTGAATTAAGCAATTCTGACATATCGGTAACAGATGGGAAACCACTGGGGGAGGAGTGAGGGGTGGACAGCAAGGGCTCCTCCTCCTCTGCAGCCCCCAGCCTCATCCCCACCCGGGAGGCCACCCAGAGCAGGCTTCGAGACTCAGGCACAGGGGTTCCCTGTGCACCTGCCACTCATACCTGCTCAGGGAAACACACACGTTTCCTCTTCCACGGGGACCCAGGTCCATGCCATCCCTCACGCTCCCTCACAGCACACGTTCATCCACATGTACCTACCTGCGCACACCTACACGTGTGCCCCTGCCCCCTGCCGACTCGTATACACACCACAGGCGCCAGCCCACCCCCACCCCCCACCACCACCACCCCCCCTCCGGTGTCTGTGAGCATGACCACACCTCTTCTGCCGGGATCCCATGAGGCGACGGCATCTCCTTTTGGGGTTCACTGTTGGGAGGTGGTGTAGGTCCCAGCCTGGGGGGTTATGCCAAGACCCCATCCATGTAGTCCTGTGGCATCCTGGAGAGCTACACAGAGAGAAGACAGGTTTATGAGGGAACCAGTGAGAGTAAAGAGCTGTGACCAGGAGGGGAGGCCCCGATCACAAACCTCAGTCCTCAGCATGGCAGGGGCAGGTAGGGCCAAGTCCTCCATTTTTGGAGGCAGCCGCCACTCTGCCGCCTGGGTGCCCCCCCTCAGCCTGTGCCCCCCTCACCCCCGCAGAAGATGTCTTCCCCTGCAAAGACTGTGGCATCTGGTACCGGAGTGAGAGAAACCTACAAGCCCACCTCCTCTACTATTGCGCCAGCCGCCAGAGCACCGGCTCCCCAGCGACCACCGCCGCAGACGAGAAGCCCAAGGAGACCTACCCCAACGAGCGGGTCTGCCCCTTTCCGCAGTGCCGCAAAAGCTGCCCCAGCGCCAGCTCCCTGGAGATCCACATGCGCAGCCACAGTGGTGAGGCCCCATGCCCCCTCCCCAGGATGCCCACTGGTGCCCACTCAAGCAGCGCATGATGCTGCATCTGCCCAGGGTGCCCACCCTGCCACAGATGCCCCTGTGTGATCTTCCCATCGCACCTCACGGTGCGTCAGAATGGTCAGCTCAGGACCAGGCCCTGGCCATAGTCCCAGGAGTCAAGGAGGCAGGGTTTAAACAGCCCCCCCACCCACCCACACCCGTCACAGGTCGTTGGCCAGCTGGGCTCCAGGAGCCCACCCCTCACTCAGCCCTGTGTTCCAGGAGAACGCCCCTTCGTATGTCTCATCTGCCTGTCGGCCTTTACCACCAAGGCCAACTGTGAACGGCACCTCAAGGTGCACACAGACACCCTGAGCGGTAGGTGAGGGCTGGGAAGGGGCTGGTGGAGGGGGCACCCCACCCCAGGGCCCTGATACCACAGCCTGCCTGCAGGTGTCTGCCACAGCTGTGGCTTCATCTCCACCACAAGGGACATCCTCTACAGCCACCTGGTGACCAACCACATGGTCTGCCAGCCAGGCTCCAAGGCGGAGATCTACTCGCCCGGGGCTGGGCACCCCACTGCCAAGCTCCCCCCAGGTGAGGCCCTGGGCTTCCCCTGAGGACCGGGAAGGGATGGGGTTTGTCCAAAGGGCAACCAGGGGTAGTAGATTTGAGTGTTGGCCCTCCACCACCTCTGCCCAGGCCAGCTCTCCCCCCTTCCCTCAGGTCTGGCCCAAGTAGGTCCTGCTCCCTCCCCCACCCTTAAGTGCGGCTCCTGGGGTCTCCCCGCAGACAGCCTGGCCAGCTTCCAGCAGCACACGGCCCTGCACGGCCCCCTGGCTTCTGCCGACCTGGGCCTAGCGCCCACCCCGTCGCCAGGACTGGACAGAAAGGCGCTGACCGAGGCCACCAACGGAGAGGCCAGGGCCACCCCCCAGAACGGGGGCAGCAGCGAGCCCTCGGCAGCACCGCGGGCCATCAAGACGGAGGCGTCGACGGAGGAGGCGGATGCGGAGCCACGACCCCCGGCCGCGGCGCGCACACCCTCGCCGCCCAGCCCCGGCCCCGGCCCGGCCCGGGTGAAGGCCGAGCTGTCCAGCCCCACGCCCGGCTCCAGCCCGGGCCCCGGCGCACTCTTCCTGCCGCAATTCCCCGCCGCGCCGCCGGCCTCCGAGATCCTGGCCAAGATGTCCGAGCTGGTGCACAGCCGGCTGCAGGCGGGCCCCGGGGCGCAGGCGGGGACGCAGGCCGGCCTCTTTGCGGGGGCCCCCAAGGGCGCCACATGCTTCGAGTGCGACATCACCTTCAACAACGTCAACAACTTCTACGTGCACAAGCGCCTCTACTGCTCGGGCCGCCGGGCCCCCGACGACGTGCCCCCGCGCAGGGCCAAGGTGCCACCCGGCCCCGCCCGTGCGCCCCCGCCCGAGGCCGACGGGGGGCGCGCATCGCCGGGATGCGGGGCGCGCGAGGACGAGGCGGCGGGCGCGGCCACCCCCGAGGCCGAGGCGGAGGCCGAGGGGGGCGGCGGCCGGGGTCGGGAGGGCAGCCCGGGCAGCCCGAGCCCGGGCAGCGGGGCGGACGAGGACGACGACCCCCGCCGGACGCTGTGCGAGGCCTGCAACATCCGCTTCAGCCGCCACGAGACCTACACGGTGCACAAGCGCTACTACTGCGCCTCGCGCCACGACCCGCCGCCGCGCCGGCCCGCGCCCGCGGGGACCCCGGGCGCCCCCGGCACCGCCGCGCCCGCCCCCGCGCCCCCGCCCGCGCCGCCCGCCGCGCCGCCCGTGCGCACGCGCAGACGCCGCAAGCTGTACGAGCTGCACGCGGCCGGCCCGGCCCCGCCCCCCGCCCCGCCCCCCGCCGGCGGCCCCGCCCCCGCGCCCGCCTCGCCGTCGCCGTCGCGGTCGCCGCGGCCCGGGAGCGGGGGCGGGGCCGGGGGCGGGGCCGGGGGGCCTGACGCCGCCGACGGCCCCATCGACCTGAGCAAGAAGCCGCGGCGCCAGGCGCCCGTGGCCGCCGCCGGGCTGCCCGCGCTGGCCGACTACCACGAGTGCACGGCCTGCCGCGTCAGCTTCCACAGCCTCGAGGCCTACCTGGCGCACAAGAAGTTCTCGTGCCCCGCCGCCCCGCGCCACCTGCGCGCCGCCCCCGAGGACGCGCCGGCCGGCGCCGCGCTCTGCCCCTACTGCCCGCCCAACGGGCTGGTGCGCGGCGACCTCGTGGAGCACTTCCGCCGGGCGCACGGCCTGCTGCTCGGCCCGCCCCCCGCCGGCCCCGGCCCCGGCCCCGGCCCCGGCCCCGGCGCCCGGACGCCCTCGCCCGCCGCCCCCAGCGACGGCCTCAACGGCCGCGAGCCCCGGGAGCCCGCCCCCGGCGCGTCGGACGGCGGCAGCCCCCGGCCCGGACCCCCGCCCGCCCCGAGCCCCGAGCCCGTGCCGCCGCCCCCCTCCCACTCGGACAAGGGCGTGCAGACCCCCGGCAAGGGGCCGCCCGCGCCCGCGGCCGCCGGCAGCCACCGCTACTGCCGCTTGTGCAACATCAGGTTCAGCAGCCTGTCCACCTTCATCGCGCACAAGAAGTATTACTGCTCCTCCCACGCGGCCGAGCACGTCAAGTGAGCGGCGGCCACGCTCCGGCCGCACCGAGGCCCGCGGCACCTGAAACAGAAGGGGAGCGCGGGAGCGCGGGAGCGCGGGGCCGGGGCGGGTGCGAGCATGCGCGTCCGCCGCCACCCGTCGGGGGTTTGGGGGAGCGAGACCCCGGCCGAACCCCAGGTCAGCCTGAGCCGCGGGGTCAGGGGCGCCAGAGCTGGGCCGAGCCCCAGGTCAGCCTGAGGCTGCTGCACAGCGTGGTAAGCGCTGCCCCCCGGCTGCCCTCCAGGATGCTACTACCAGCTCGACTTTGACCACCACATACCAAAGGGAAGGACTCCATACTGGCCAGCCGGCAGAGGACGACCCAGCCTTGTGCTTGCCAAAGCTAGTGGGGCCAGAGGGGACACCAGGGCTCCCCGCGACCAGAGAAAGCAAATCCTCAACTGGAGCTAGCATGACACCTGTGCTGGCTACAGTGCGTGTGAGGGGCGGGGGCAGCCCACCCCAGTTGGCCCAGCTGGCGCCGTGGGGGGTATGCATGCCGGGGCTGGCCCCGAGCAGTGCTTGGCAGCACCCAAGCAGAGTCCGGCCATGGTCTTGCCCCTGTGCAGCGGGGTACTGTGGGCACCCTCAGCCTGGTGTCCCCACTAGAAAACACCCATCAGTCCCTTTCCAACTTCGAAGGAGCAGAGCATTTCTTCCAATTTTACCCAGCAGCCTCTGGTGGATGATGTGAACTCTTCGACCTTCCTCTGTTTTGAAATAACAGAGGTGCTTCCTGCCATCCCCCCACCAGGCCCACTTTCCTGCCCAGTCCCTGTGGGGCTTCAGAGCTTCACAGCTGTTTGGACAGGATCAGTCGCCGGCATCACGCACAGGACCCTGCCCACTGACAGACGTCCCTCGCTGGCCCTGAGGACCAGGGCCCAGCAGCCAGGGCCCCCAGACTCTCCTAGGGTCTGCTCTAGGGAAGTCCGTGAGGGAGGGTCCTGGGGGAGCCAAGCTGTCTCCTTCCAGGATTCCCAGGGCTCTGCCAGGGTTGGGGGTTAGGGGCTGGGGCGGAGGAAGCCCACGGACCCTGGGCCTGGCTCTGCATTTGCATTGTTCCGCATGAATTTGCATGGACGGTTCAAGAGGCTCAGCTTCTGAGTCAGACCACCAGATGGAAGCAGACGTGACCGATGTCCACGCGTACTGTTATTAAAAAAAAATTAAATCTAATACAGAATCGATTTCACTGTATATAAATCGTAAAATAAAAAATTTTTAAAGGGTGCTGGGAAACATCAGGGACACAGCTCCCAAGGAACAACAGATGCTGAAAGGGGAAAATCCAAAAGATGGGGTGGCTTGAGGGAGGCAGGTGCAGAGTGAATGGGAGGGCCCCACCAGGAGAGGGCCTCGGGGTCTTGCCTGTAGGTGAGGGGATGGGGCTCCATCATCCGGAAGCCTCTTCTACGGGTTCAGGAGGCAGACCCTGTGACTCCCATTGCAGGACTGGACAGGGGCCAGACTGACCTCTGTTCCCAGGGAGCTCTTGGGCCCTGCAGCCCATGCCTCCACCCCGGTCTCAGGAGCCCCCCTCCCACCAAAGAGGCTAGGCTTGGGGTCCTGGGCCGCATCACCCCCTGGTGCTCCCCCAGCAGAGGACTGGGCACACCCACTCCCCTCACCCAGCTCAGTGCCCCCAGTCCCACACCCTCCCTGCCCCAGACTCCAGGTTTCCCACCCCTGCACACACCACCAGTGGCCATGCCTCCTGCTTGAGCCCCCTCCACCTCCCTTGCCCCCACGCTGTCCCAGCTCTGCCCAGGGCTTCAGAGAGCCCTCTCCAGGAAATGGGAGGCTTCCTGCCCCCAGACCTGCTGCTTCTCTAACTAGGAGGATGTGAGGCTCTCCGTACCCATCCCGACCCTTCCCTGCACACTGTCCCCGGGAGGACGCATGGATTGCAGTGCCCCTGAATCCCTCTCTAGCCCAGCCTCCTCTGAGCCCCAGACCTACCAGTCCCTCCAGAGCCCCACTCCCTCCCCTCCTGCTGCCCAAACACAGCCATTGCCAGCAACCTTTGCTCCTTAAGCCAGTGATGTTACCACCCTCACCCACTCGCACCTCCCTTTCAAAAGCAGCTCTGGATTTCCCCAGGTGCACCTTCCTCTGTCCACCACCTGCATCTGGCTCCCGCATCTGCAACTTGGCCTTGATCCTCCCTCAGCTTGCAAACATATCCATGAGTCTGATAGGTTTCTACCTCCCGGGACAGCTGCCGCTGCTTCTGTGCTCCCAGCTGTATCCCGCCCAGTGGATGGGTCACTGCCCCAGCAGCTGCTGCTCTTCCCACTGTGGGAAATCCCATGGCCTCCCACCCAGCTTCAGGCTCTCAGGAGTTCCTGCCATACAGAGGTGGTGTCCAAGCCCCGCTCAGCCACTGCGCCCCTCCACATCACCTTCGCCACTAGGGTCTGCTCCCCAGGAAGGGCTGCACTTCACATCACGTGACTCAGCTTAGGGACCTTCCCTGCTTCTCCATCCTGACGATAATAGTCATGCTCGTTGCCCCGCCCCTCACCCCTTCCCCACTGTCCTTGCCTGCTGTGACTGGTGGTTCCTGGGCACCTGGCATCTGGCCTGGCACCAGGAGGGGCATTTGGATCACTGATGTGATGAGGGACTGAGAGACAATCAAGTGAGCACGTCCTTCCCCCACATCCAGAAGCCAGCCCCGCCTGTGCACACCCAGGACACCTTCCTGATCCCAATCCTGTTCTTCCACCGGCCTCCTGCCTTTGGCTGCCCCTCATGCTGCACTGACTGCATCCCCTAGAGCCAGCTTTGACCAGACATGTCCTGCCACAGCTGCCTGGCACGCACAGCACAGAGTCCACATTCACAGTCACCACCTAACCCCAACTCCTCCTAGAGTCAGACGTGCAGCCCCGGGCCCCCGTCACCGCCATCCACTGCCCACGCTGCCTGCTCACCTGCTCACCCCGTGTGCGGGCAACAGCCCGGCTCAATGGCTCTAGCAGTTGCTGCAAGTGGACATTCCCGACGCCAGGGGTCAGCAACGACTCATTTCTACAGGCCAGCGGGCAGGGTGGCAGGAGCCTCCTGCCCTATCATGCACTCCAAGTATCCTGCCCCTTGTTCTCCCACCATGGGGTGGGAGGCAGTGTGGTCCCAGCTGGGATGGACACAGGGGAACACAGGGGGGAGGCAGCAGCGGCCAGCACAGGAAGGTCCAAGCTGGGCTTGGGCCCTGGTCAAAGGAGCACTGGAAAGGGAAGGCCAGGCAGTCATAAATGCTTCCACAGAGTCCCTGGAGGTCAACCTCTGATGGAAGGGGTGGCAGGAGGAGAGTGTGGGGACAGGACTTGCCATCACATGAGTGACCCCTGGAGCACACGCAGCCCCAGTCTTGGCACACCAGACCCTCCGCCAGCCAACCCCCCGTCTGCCACCAGGGTCTCCTCTGAACCCAGGACCCGGCCTTGCGCAGCAGGCCTGCCCCTCACATGCTCTCATTGGATTTCCCTATACTTCCCTTCCTGTCCTGCCAGAAACAGCCTCCTCCCTCATCTGACAGCCACCCTTCCTTACTGCCTAGGGAGAGCATCCCTGACCCAGGAGAATACAGGTTCCGGCCCTTCCTGCTGGGCTGCAGAAGCCAGCGCCTGGCATTGTGCACTTCATCACCTCCCAGCAGATTCCTTTCCTGCAAATTTGAGAAATGCCCACACAGCAGTTGCTCCGAGCTTGTTAGCATCGTTCTTTTTTTTTTTAATAGAAGAGGAGGGAACACTTCCCTTTAAAAATTTTTTTTTAATTTATTTATTCATGAGAGACACACAGAGAGAGGCAGAGACATAGGCAGAGGGAGAGGGAGAAGCAGGCTCCATGCAGGGAGCCTGATGTGGGACTGGATCCCAGGACTCCAGGAACATGCTCTGGGCTAAAGGCAGGCGCTAAACCACTGAGCCACCCAGATGTCCCAAGTTAGCACCTTTCTAATCAGCATAACAGGAGCCTATATCAAGAGATGGGGAGGGGAGGGGAGGGGAGGGGAGGGGGAGAAGGAGGGGAGGGGGAGAAGGAGGGGAGGAGAAGAGGGGGAGGTGGGAGGAAGCAGAGGGGGGAGGAGAGGGAAGGGAAGGGGGCCCAGGTGTCAGCTCTTGGAAAGGGAGAGGTGGTGGGAGGGGGAATGACAAGCCCGCAAAGCCTGTGCTTGAACCCTGCCCCCTTCCAGCGCCCCATCCCACTACCACTCTGCTGTTCATCCAACCTGCAGCTGAGCCTTCAGAAGTCCAGCCTCTTCCGGGGAACAGAAGGGCTAGGGGGCAGCAGCTCCGCCCACAAAGCTGGAAGGACACCCTCCCTCAGCACCCGGCTACCACCCCTCCCATCCCCAAAACACAACCTCTGAAAAAACCGGAGTCCTCCCATAGCCCTAAGCGTTGCTCATGGGAGCTCTCTAAGGTGCCAGCCTGTGTTTCCAGCCTGTTAACACCCCGTGGGTAAGATCCCCTTGCACGTATCCGACTCTGTCAGGCACCTACACGAGCTCCGCTAGTGGCAACCCCACCCAAGAGGGGCCTGGGGAGAGAGGCACTCCCACGGGGAGGACAAGAAGCCCCTTCTGACAGCTGTGTTTGCGGGCAGCACCGGGACTCATTGGAGGTAGACAGGGGCAAGCTCTCTCGGGAAGGCGTGGCTCCCACAAACCCAAGGGTGGCCATGGCCCATGGTCCGTTACTGCCAGCCTTGGGGCTGTCACACTCACCCCCTGACCACACAGGGCATGGTGGGTCCCGCCCCTCTACGTGGGGGCACAGACCTATTGGCCTGACAAGCCAGTGCCTGTACCACCTCACTTGTCCAGGGAGGCCTGCCAGCGCCTCACTAAGCGTGGAACATCCAGAGAATGTGGATGGGGCCCAGTTTACCAGTGCACCAGAGCGCTGGCTGTGTGCTCTCAGGTCTGCAGGGGCCAGCCCCAGTGACCCCGCTGTCCCCACGCTGGAGGCCACCGACCCTGGTCCCAACGCGACTGACCAGCACAGTCTGGAGAGGGAAGTGGCCATGTAGAGTCTGGCCATCAGGGATGGCTGCTGCACACCTTCCCAAGGTCAGAGGTCCAATCAGTGGGGATAATAGAGAACTAGAAACAAACTCCAAACTGTATGCATATCCAGACCCAAAATATTTTACAAGCACCTGGCTGGCTGTGTGCTGCTTCTCACGCCACAGAAGTACAACAATGCGCTGTATTTCCAAAGACCCCAAATGCATAACCATGTACAACCCCAGAATCTGAAGACCACAGTTTTTAAAGACACAGGCGACCTGACCGCCCCGCCCCCGGGGGGGGCCGCCCAGGTCCCAGGTCACTGTGTCAATCAGAATCAAAGCAGAGAGAGGCTGCATGATTAGGGAGAGCCACGCATGCCCCAGGCACCTCAAGACACAGGGCAAACCCCTTCCCCTGATTACGAGGACCTGTATGGTCAAACCTGCCCCATCTCCTCTGAGTGACTAAGGCAGGGACTCAAAGCCAATGGAAGACACGGGATGAAGCCCAGCCCCTCCGTCAGATCTATGGTGGTCCCATAGATCTGTCACTTCTTTGACCATAGCAACCAGGCTGCCCTGATTTCGCCCCAGTGCACAGAGGCCCCACCAACAGCAAATCCAAAGAATTCTCAGCAGTCCCTGGTCCAACACTTAGAATTCCATCGTTAAATGCTCTCTGGCCAGACCCATGGCAAGAAAGGCATCTGACATCCCAACCTGTCCACAGATGCTCAGAACCCACCATGGCTACCGCCCAGCCTGAGCACAGGCCATGCACAGAGTGTGCTCCATGGAGAGGATGCGCTCCTCAGCCCAGCAGCAAGCCCGCGAGGCACCCACAGCCAGCCACCATCCCCACACTGCACACCCCTCCAGCGGCCTGCTCTCAGCCAGCAGAAAATGCAGCATGGCAGTAAAAGGAAGAAAAAGCCAGCCTGGCACCCAGTCCACTTACAGGTGGTGGGGGTCTGCCCACGCCCCATCCTCTGCCCATGCTCTGTCCTCTGCCAACACAAGCCACATGGTTTCTGAGCCTGTCAGCAGGGACACAGCACATATACACCCTGCCTGTGACTACGAAGGGCACAGCCAGCTGGATTACCTCCTTGAAGGAGCACTGTAACCAGAGCTCCCTGTAGCTGTGGCTGGGTCTGCACGCACCTCTGTGGGTTTTCCTGGGCTTCCTGAATGTCCCCTT